TACCACCTGCCTCACCTTGCTCTCCTCGTGGTCCTGTGACTCCTTGCTCTCCTTTCGGTCCAATATTACCTGGTCTTCCCACCGGTCCTTCAGGTCCTTCTCGACCATCTCGTCCTGGTGGTCCTGGCTGTCCTTGTTCTCCTGACATTTGTGATGGAGGACAAGTCTGAAAGCAAATATTGCAAACAATCTCTTTTCAAACATAATTTTTATGACTTAGAAACAATACATTACTGAACTTACTTGGACCACGGAAACAGCGCAAATAACCAATAGGAAAACGCCGAAAAGATGCATTAGTACTGACAACGCGAAATTGTTTGCGTGGACGACGGTGGAAATTTTTTGAATATTCTTTAAAATCTGGAAAATTTGTATTTCATAAAGCATGAGAAACAGAATATAGCAAAAAATTTTTAGATTTCCTTTGGATGATTATACGCAATTTCTACTTTTTAATTTTTTGAGACAAACGAATATTGTTGATTGGAATTATAGGCTTCCATCTGAAAATTATAGTATTTTCAGAAATTTGAGAAAAAATTTACAATTTAAATTGAAGCTTAACTAAGCAGATTTTCAAATAGTCGTATTAATGAAACAAAATAAAGCATTTATGAAAGCTAACCGGGTCTTTTTAGATAGAACAAATGAAAAGAAGATTTGATCGACTTATAGAATATCAGGAGTTGGTAAACAATGCAGATGGATAGAACAGGTTTGGACCTTCCGGAAACAATCGGCTATCACATCAAGCTATTAATGGTGTTCTTCTTGTATATTAGAATTCTACATTTTCTGGATTAGATTTTTTTCCGGACTGGTTTTCGATAAATAATTGGTTTTCATCCATATCAATGATAATGTCGACTTTCACTGGACATCGGTTAGTAAATCGTTGCTGCTATCTGTTCCTATTATGGAGAAAATCATTGGTAATAATATGCTTTTCATTATGAAATTTGCTTCACTTTTGTCTCGATTGGATTCTTTGTCGTATTTTGGCATCAACTTTGGCAAACTGATTAATATAAACAAAATGAAAATAATTGAAGATCATAAATTATGAGGAAAAAAAACAAAAGATTATTATTTGGAATAAAAAGTTTCGATCAAATGATCAACATTGTAATTATAAATTC